AGAAGTATTGGTGTTAATTTTTCTTTATTTTTTTTATTTTTTTATTTTTTTAATCCTCACCCGAGGATATTTTTCCATTTTTTGTACAGATAGAGTGGGAGGGAGAGAGAGGAAGGAGAGAGAGGGAGAAACATCGACGTGAAGGGACACATCGAGTGGCTGCCACCCACACGACCAACCAGGGCCGGGGACAAACTGCAACCGAAGCACGTGCCCTTAGCGGGAACCGAACCCGGGTCTCTCCAGACCGCAGGCCGACGCTCTAACCGCTGAGCCAAACTGGCCAGGGCTTAATTTTTCTTTAAATGTTTGGTAAAATTCACAAGTGAAGTCATCTGGTCCTGGGCTTTTCTTTGTTGGGAGTTTTTTGATTACTGATTCAGTCTCTTTATTTGTTATAAGTCTTCTCAGATTTTCTATTTCTTCTTGAGCCAGTTTTGGTAGTTTGTGTGTTTGTAGGAAGTTGTCCATTTCATCTAGGTTATCTAATTTATTGGCATTAATTAATTGTTAACTAATTAATTGTTTAGTAATCTTGTTCTTCTTGTTACTGAGAGAGTAGTGCTAAAATCTCAACTGCCCTGGCTGGTGTGGCTCAGTTGGTTGGAGCATTGTCCTGTAGAGCTAAAGGTTGTGGTTTTGATTCCTGGTCGGGGCACTTGCCTGCACTGTGGGTTCCATACCTGATCGGGGTGTGTGTGGGAGGCAGCTGATTGATGTTTCTCTCTCACATCAATGTTTCTCTCTCTCTAAAAATCAATAAGCATGTCCTTGGGTGAGGATAAAAAGAAATCTCCAACCAAGATTATGAATATATCTTTCTCCTTTTGATTATATAAATTTTTCTCTTTTATTTTTTTTGAGACTATTATTAGTTTCATACAATTTTTTTTAACATGTTCTTTTTTTTGGGGGGGGGGTTAATCCTCACCTGAGGATATTTTTCCATTGATTTTTAGACAGAGTGGAAGGGAGGGAGGGGAGAAAGAGAGAAGAATCAATGTGAGAGAGACACATAAACTGGCTGCCTCCCACACAACCCCCACTGGGGCCAGGGATCAAACCTGCAACTTAGGTACACATCCTTGACTGGGAATCGAACCCATGACCTTTTGGTCAGCAGGCCGACACTCTAACTGCTGAACCAAACTGACCAGGGCATTTTCATACAAATTTAAGATGCTTATATCTTCTAGTAGATGGTTCCTTTTATCATTATTGTCTCTTTATTTCTAATAATGTTTCTTGTCTTCAAGTCTATTTTGTCAGATTTTAGTATGGTTATACTGATGTTCATTTGTTAGTGTTTGCATTTATATATTTTCCCATCCTTTGCTTGCAAGATTTCTTTTTCCTTACATTTAAGATGCATCTCTTGTATCTTATACTTCAAAATAAATCAAGTCTGATAATATTTGCCTCTTAGTTTGACCATGTAATGAATTATTAATATATTTAAACATACCAGGTTACTATATTTTTTTACTTTGACATCTGTTCTATGTTTCTTTTTCTCTTTCTTATCTACTTTTGGATTATTTAAGTATTTTTTGGAATTATGTTAGCTTGTTAGTTGTGCATTCTTTTAGAATTCTTTTTGTGGTTTGCAATATGTCTTCTTTTAAAAATGTTTTTATTGATTTTGAGAGAGAGAGAGAGAGAAACATTGATCGGTTGCCTCCCATATGCACTGTGCCCTGACTGGGAATTGAGCTGGAGACCTTTGGTGCATGGGAGAATGCTCAAACAACTGAGCCACACTGGCCAGAGCACAGTATGAATTCTTGACTTACTAAAGTACTCTTACGAAGTCCTGGGTAACAAAATAACCTTATAGCACTTTCACTCCATGTATTGCCCTCTCAACTTATATACTACTGGTATTATGCTTTTCTTTATTTATTTAATTTTATTGTTGACTGGTATCGTGCTTTTAACTATTATATATCTCTCTATATTTTATTCCCCAGAAAACTTTATTATTATTGCTCTACACAATCAATATTCTTTTAGATTTGGCCACCCTTTTTCTCTGTATTGATTTTTCTTTTTAGAGAGCAAGCTAGAAACATTTTAGAGAGGGATAGAAACATCGATGAGAGAGAACATCGATTGGCCGCCTCCTGCATGCCCCCCACTGGGGATCGAGCCCACAGCCCGGGCACGTGCCCTGACCAGGAATCTCTCTGGTGGCCTCTTGGTACATGGGTTGATGCTCAACCACTGAGCCACACCAGAGGGGCAGGCCCCTCTTTTTGTTCTTCATTTCTTTCTGCCTCTTCGTGCTTCCGTCTGGAACAATTTTCCTTCTGTCTTAAGAACTATCTTTAGTATTTCTTTTCTTAATTTCAATTTTTTTTGAAGGATGACTGGGGTATTTCCCAGGGCCCCTTGTCCTTGGTGGGTCCTGAATTCCAATTTTTGTTTTCTAGTCCTATAGGACCACTCAGTTGCCTTTTGACTACTGCTTGTGAATTCGCAGGTGCCTCAAGGATGAAAGCTGCTCCTTGTTGAGCTTACCTCTCTGTAGTTCCCTTCCTTTACCCTTCAGGTCCTCACTACCTTTATATCTCTTCCAATGCCTTCACCCAAATGTTCTATTAATATTTCGACCAGAAGTTGTTTCTTCTGAGAGGGTTCATCTGCATCAAGAGAGTCTGTTGTTACGAGGATGGAAGGCTTGTCTGGTTATTTTTCGATTTTGCACTCCTGACTGCTGGGGAGTGTACAGTGTGTGTGGAACTCAGACAATATTATCAATATTGTCTTCATACTTCTCTACTATGAATGCAGATATAAATGGCTATATATGCACACACATACCTACAAACATGTACATATAAAATATACACACAAACATATGAAACACACTTTGTCAAGGCACACACAGGATCTTTTCTCCTTAAGCCTTTGGAAAAGGTATAGAAAATTATTGCTTGTCAGCTACTTATAAAGCCTTATATCGTTGCTTTCTGAATTATTATCTGTGGTGTATGAGTGTCCCACATGATGTTAATAGATTATCTTTGTTAAAATGGTGCCAAGGTCAATAAATTTGGGAAATTGTCCATAGAATCTTCCCCTTAGAGACATCCAACACATTTAAGCATGTTACCTGGCCAGTTTGGCTCAGCGGTTAGAGCGTCGGCCTGCGGTCCGGAGAGACCCGGGTTCGGTTCCCGCTAAGGGCGCGTACCTCGGTTGCAGTTTGTCCCCGGCCCTGGTTGGTCGTGCGGGTGGCAGCCACTCGATGTGTTCCTTCACGTCGATGTTTCTCTCTCTCTCTCCCTCCCACTCTATCTGTACAAAAAAATGGAAAAATATCCTCGGGTGAGGATAAAAATATATATATATATATATATATATATATATATATATATATATATATGCCCTGGCCGGTTTGGCTCAGCGGTTAGAGCGTCGGCCTGCGGTCCCGAGAGACCCGGGTTCAGTTCCCGCTATGGGCATGTACCTCGGTTGCAGTTTGTCCCCAGCCCTGGTCAGTCGTGCGGGTGGCAGCCACTCGATGTGTCCCTTCACGTCGATGTTTCTCTCTCTGTCTGTTCCTCTCTCCCCCTCCTACTCTACCTGAACAAAAAATGGAAAAATGTCCTCGAGGGAGGATAAAAAAATAAAAATAAAAAAGCATGTTAAAGACTCTGAAACATGTAAATAAACATATTTGATTATGAAATCCCTTTTGAGGGGAATACCTATTGCATTGGTAGGTAAATCTTGGGAGACACTTCCTTATAGCAAAGCTAAATCTACAAAATTCGATACCAGTAAGTATCTGGTGTTCAAGGGTCTTTGTCTTCACAAAGATGAAGTGTCGGTTAGTGTTTCTTCAAATGTGGACACTGCAAGGAGAGTCTGACGGTGTCAGGTTTTGGGTTTGGAAGGCCAGAGCCCCTTTGCTCCTGAGTGAGTAAAAAAGAAGGCAGAACTTGGGGGCACACGTATTCCCAGCTTTTTCTCTGTTTGTACCTCCTGGAGTAAAACTATCTGCTTGGGTTCCCTCCATCCCAGCCCAGCTCAGCATGGGGTACCCATTTGTGTTGGTAGGAACTGATTTTTGATCTCATAGGACCAAATTCTGCCTCACTTCACCTACCTCTTGGAGGTCTTTTTTTTTATTTTTATTTATTTATTTTATTTTTTTATCCTCACCCGAGGATATTTTTCCATTTTTTGTACAGATAGAGTGGGAGGGAGAGAGAGGAAGGGAGAGACAGACAGAAACATCGACGTGAAGGGACACATCGAGTGGCTGCCACCCGCACGACCAACCAGGGCCGGGGACAAACTGCAACCGAAGTACGTGCCCTTAGCGGGAACCGAACCCGGGTCTCTCCAGACCGCAGGCCGACGCTCTAACCGCTGAGCCAAACTGGCCAGGGCCCTCTTGGAGGTCTTGATGCCCCTCTGTGCAGGTGAGAGTGTGAGAGAGTTGTGACGGAATATACAGAGCTTCTGCTCAGGAGCCAAGAGGCCTGGGTTCAAGCCCTGGTGCTGTGTGACCTTGGGAGAGTTAATCATGGAGTAGTGGGTGAGAGCATGGACTTTGGTGTCAGACACACTCGGCCCTTCTTCTTCCTTGCTGTGTGATCATGGGCATATCACCTTTCTGTACCTCAGTTCCCTTACCTGTCAAATGGGGATAATAATAACAACCACCTCATTTTTTCTTGTTGTGATAAAGAGACAAGATAATGCATGTCAAGTTCAATACCTAGAACATAGTAGACACCTGGCAAATGTCAACTATTATAATACTTCATTCAACCTGACTCCTTCAACTGGGTTTGAGGAGAACCATAACCTCTCATGATGCTTGAGGATCAGAATCTTGAATGTGAAAAAGGGTTTTGTAAACTCTTGGAGACAGAGGGAAGTCCTGACCTTGATGCTGCCTCATCCCTTCTGGCTGGGCAGCGCAGGTGTGGGGATGACACCAGCCTCCGCCCCTACTCTCAGGCAGAACCATTTCTCCATTACAGAACATTGGTAAGAAGATGTCCTGCCAGCAATTCATTGCCAACTTGGACCAGCTGAATGATGGCCAAGACTTTGCCAAAGACCTGCTGAAGGTATGACCTGTGAAGGGTCCCCATGTCTCCAGCTGTAACAGGGTGGTTGGAGAGGAGAAAGGTCTCTGCCTCACTAAATCCCAATATTCCAAATTCTTAATACTGGGGTCTGGACCACTGTGACTTTGGGACAGAGTTAGAGACCTTCCAGCTCAACATTTAACTGTTATGTGTTCCTTGAGTTAGGCAGAGGGGTAGGCTTTATGAGATTTGTTTTTAGTGCTACAGAATCATTATTGCTATCATAGTAATAATCAGTACTGCCACCAATTGTCACAGCTCTCATGGCCATCACCACCACCTTTACCACCACCACTTACCGCCACTTCACCATGGGGCAAAGACCACTTATTCCTTCAACATCAACAGGAATTAAGGGAATCTAGTTTTCTTTTGAGGCTGAAGCCCAGGGTAGAACTCTGGCCTTTCAAGCCTGGTCAGTTCTTGGCCTTGGAGAAAGAAAAGAGGTTTTTTTGGAGGTATAAGATGAGTTCAATTTTAAATCATGGGTTTGAAGGACCTGGTGATACCAGTGGGGCAGTTGTATAGTGAATCTGGAGGTTAAAAAAAAAAAGAAAATTGTCTTCATCACTCTCTTATCATAATTATTTTCTTCACCATCAAGAAACACTTGTTAAGGATGTATTTGTGAGATCAAATAATCCCAGCCCCACCACCCACCAATACATTTCTCCTCATTTATTCATTCACCCACCTATCTGGCCTTCCATGCATCCATTCTCCCATCCACTCATCCACCAACTCAGTCATTTACCCGTCATCATATCGGCATCCCCTACACCCCTAAACACTCCCCACACACACTCCACATGTAGCCATCTATCCACCATTCACCCATTTTCCCACCTATCCACCTACCTACCAACCCATCTACCTGCTCATACTCAAATCTGTCCACCCAGTCATATACCCACTCATCCCCCACCCTCCATTCACTCACCCACCAAAAAACAAGTATGAATCAAACAATCACTTTGCCCCACTGGCTTAAAAGTGCTCCCTCATTGCATCCACATTGTGAGAGTTAGATGGAGATTTTTTTGATTTTTCATTAGAGCTCCTCTCTCTCTTTGCCCCTCTCCCAGACCCTTTACAACTCCATCAAGAATGAAAAGCTGGAATGGGCCATGTGAGTAGTGCCCATGGGCACAGGTATGGGAACACTGAATCACTGGGAGGGAGAATGGGGAGTGGCTCGGGGCAGGGGTGGGGTGTAGGGAAGTCACTCCGGCCACTCTCCATGGTGCTGATCTCTCCCAACCCAGGTCCCTGATGACCCCTGTCCAGCGGGCCAAACCTGGTGTTGAGTTCTCCTTTGGGTTTGTTTTCTGTTTTGATAACAAGTGTGCAGTGTTTACATGGCTATGGAAATAGATAGAACTGTGACTTTAGTTCCATGATATACACACTTGTTTTCTGTACTGGGGATACTGCCACTACACCCATATGATGATAATTTTTTCCTCTTTAGAAGGTAGGCAGGCAGGAGGCATGGGTCTCCCTATAACCCCAAGAGTATGACCATGTTTAGGTGGCAACTGTTCTTGGCAGTGGGGAGGGGTTACTGTCCCCTAACTTCTTTCCCTGTGAAGGCAGTGATCCTGGAGGTGCCCAGCCATTGGAAAGAGGTGTGGTGACCTTGCTAGTTGGTGAGACTGCGAGGCTCTGGGGAAATGGGTGTCCTGACCTGCTGTGCTGTGCTCTCCAGGGCAGCCTGGGTCCTCGGATCTGTGTGGAGGTCCCAAGCAGGGATTGTTAGGAATCTCAGCCCCAAGGGGAAGCGCTGGCATTCTTCTAACAAGGTTCAGTGGGGATCCCCATAGCTGTGGGGCTGGGCAGCAGCTTGAGTCTGGCCAGGAGTTACTGCTCCCTGGAGCTGGGCTTTCAGGGCTGGAGAGAGGAGAAGGCAGACTAGGAAGGAGGTCTGGAGATAATAAGGTCTCCAACTTTGTGATCAAGTGTGAAGATTGGAGCTTGGAGGTAAAAAAATCAAGGAGCAGAGGTCAGGGGTCAGAATTGAGCCCCTGAGGGAAGGAGTCAAAGATCTGGATCTGTGACCTGGAGTTGGAACCTCCTCTTCTCCGCTCTTCACCTCGACTGGCTCCCAGAGGAGTGGTGGGTGGTGGGAAGGCATATTGATGTGGGGCTGAGGCCTCCCCGGAGGTGGTGCTCAGATCTAGTACTTTCCCAGTGATGAAGATGAGCTGAGAAAATCACTGTCTGAGCTGGTGGATGACAAGTTTGGGACTGGCACAAAGAAGGTGACACGGATCCTGGACGGTGGCAACCCCTTCCTGGATGTCCCACAGGCTCTCAGTGCTACCACCTACAAGCACGGTGTGCTGACCCGGAAGACTCATGCCGACATGGATGGCAAGAGGAGTGGGTGTCAGGCGGGGAAGGGTCATGGGGAAGGGTGCTAGTCTAGATGGGGTCTGCCCCCCTTTGCCACTCCTATGGGGATGCACATGCAGGTAGATGTGTGGTAGGGGAGGAGATTTTGGGGTAGGTGGTTGCGGCCACACTACCTGTGCCCTGTCTCCAGCGCCCCGTGGGAGACGTGGCTGGAAGAAATTCTACGCGGTGCTCAAAGGGACCATCCTGTACCTGCAGAAGGTGAGAGACTGCCTCAGTGTCCTTACTCAAGAAGGGCCCGTTCATTTCCCCATCCAGCCACTGCCGTGTGGTTCCCAGAGGGTCCTGAGCAAGACCTGGGGTTAGGCAGGTCAGTGCTGGGTCCTCCCCCATCAGGGCCCGGACTCAGGCCTACTCAGAGCTTTGGTGATTTGGGGGAGGGGCTTTTCAAGTGCCCAGGGTTCAGAGGATGCCCACTCTGGGGTCTCACAGGCTCTCACAGGGGTGCGGGGAGGATACCTGAAATGATTCTTGTTGGGGTTGGCATGGCATTAAGTGGCAGGAGTTGAAAATAGAGGGAGATCTATTGACAGAGGGAAGGAGAGTGAGAGGGAGGGCTGGTGAGGGTGGAGGAAATGTGGGTCAGTAAGCCGGAGCTGGCCATGATAGAGGCTTGCCCCCCCCACCTGTCCAGGATGAGTACCGGCCTGACAAAGCTCTGTCTGAGGGTGACTTGAAGAATGCCATTCGTGTGCACCATGCTCTGGCCACCAGGGCCTCCGACTACAGCAAGAAGTCCAACGTGCTGAAGCTGAAGACAGCTGACTGGAGGGTCTTCCTGTTCCAGGCACCGTAAGTAGGAGTGGGGAACCCCTAGCTTCCTCCTGGACTCAGGGCCTGCAGCATGGAGCCTGCACTGCACCCCCCTCCTCATCTGCTTTCGGGGAGGCGCCCTCTGCTCCCTCTGCCTGCATGTATCTGCTCAGCATAAACCAACAGCAAGGCCCCCGCCAGCCACGCTTCAAGCATGGGCTCCTCAGGCTCTCCTGGAAACCTGTTAGAAGTGTAGTTTCTCTGGCCCCACGTTAGACCTGCTGAATCAGAGCCTCTGGGGATGGGCTGGCAGTTGGGTTTTAACAGAGCCCTCCAGGTGATTCTGATGCACGCTGAACTCCCTACATATGGGCAGAAGGAGGCTAAGAACCATCCTTCACTTTAAGTCAGGTGGGGGGAATGGATGGGAAAGACTTGCCCTGCAGTTTCTCTCTAAGTCATGGAAGGATGACTTTCTGTCCACTCCCCTGTACCCCATCCTTCCGAGACTTCAGATTGGGGTTTCATGTTTCATATGAGAGAGGCTAGTAGGTGAGCTCTCAGGATGTTGTGTCTGTGCCCAGGAAGGCAGTGGGGACAACCAGCTGCCTCTGATGACCCCGGGCCAGCTAGCTCTAGGGCCCATTAGCTCCATGGCCATTAGCTTTGGACCTGGCAGTTTTATTTTCACATGGAAATCCAGGTCTTGCCTGGGAGCTGGGACAGAAGGGGCTCCCTACACAGACATGACCAGGCCATCCAGCCCCCGCCCTCCTCCCGTACTCCTTTGCCCACCTACATGGAAGTGCTGTGCTCGCTCTCTGCCAGGCTAGTGCTGGGTACTGGGTGCTGGGTTGGAAAGAGGGAGTCCCATTGTGAGAAACTGGTGCACTTCCCCTCCCATCCTGTCCCCAGGAGCAAAGAAGAAATGCTGTCCTGGATCCTTAGGATCAACCTGGTGGCCGCTATCTTCTCAGCCCCAGCCTTCCCAGCTGCTGTCAGCTCCATGAAGAAGTTCTGTCGGCCCCTGCTGCCCTCCTGCACCACTCGCCTCTGCCAGGTACAAGCACCTGGGACCACACCAGCCTCCCAGGCCGCCTCCCCCGTGCCAGCCCCCGTCATTCAGCAGCTATCACCTCCGCTCCCACACAGTGTCCTGGGCTCAGAGACAAGGCAAAGGGACAGATATTTTCTTCCATCCCCACTGCACCCACCCCCTTTACAGATGGGAAGACTGAGGCCACGCACAACACTGGCGTGGCTACACTGTGGTGAGTGGCATGGGTGTGCTTCTGTGCCAGTGGTGGTGTATCCTGTGGATGTGACTGTGGGTCTGTGGGCATCATGTGTGTTTGCCCACATGTGTTTTGCATGATGTGAGAAAATGTGTATGTCATAGGGAGCTAGGAGAGGGAGACTTGATTTACCCTTTATCCAGTCATCTACCCTTAAATGTTTTATTTGTAATCCTAATAAAAGCTCCAATTCACCCATACCCCAGTTTTTCAGTTTGGTTTTTGAGAAGAAAGATAAATAGAGGACCACAGCTTGGGAGGTAGAGGGCAAGGGAAGCTTCTTACTTCCTGTCTTTGCCAGTCGCTGGCCCTTTTCCTACTGGGCCCTTGTCCTGGGCCTCTCCACTCAACTCCTGGGCCCTGTGCACGCTTACTCAGTGCACACACATACCCACACCGTACATGTGTTCACACACGTGCACACACGTGCACACAGCCCATTGCCCACAGAGCACAAAGCAATGTGGCTATACTGTGGTGGATGGGATGTGTGTGTGCTCTTGTCTGTGTGACAGTGTCTTTGCCTGTCTTTTGGTGGGTATGTGACCATCACTTGTGAGTCACTGGCATGAGTGTAAGAGACTGTGTGGAGCCAGGGGTAGCTAAGACCAGGCTGCCCTTGGCACAGTGTGTTTGTGTGTGCATGTGCGAGTCCATATGAGCGAGGGGGCGTCTCTGGGTGATTGTGTGTCTGTGTCAGGCAGTGTTTACAGGCGCGTACAAGCTTGAGGATCTCTCATCCCCTAAGCCTGCTAGGGGGTTATCTAGAGGAGCTGATGCCAACGAGAGCAGGGAGGGAGGAAGAAGGTGGAGGCACACTCCCTGAGGTCTGGAGCCTGGCACCTCACATTTTGATGACCCTGGCCAGGCCTCAGTTTCCCTGTGGTGAAACAGATCCTGGCAGGACAGGATTAGATGCCCCCCTATGACAACCCGAGAGGGGGACCTCACAGTGCAGGACTTGTCTTTGCAGGAGGAGCAGCTGCGTTCTCATGAGAATAAGTTGAGGCAGGTGACTGCAGAACTGGCTGAGCACAGGTGTCACCCAGTGGAGAGGGGCCACAAATCCAAGGAGGCGGAGGAGAGCCGGCTGAAGGAGCACTATCTCACATTTGAGGTGGGCCTGCTGTGGGATGGATTGTGAAGGAAAGGGCTGGGGCCGAGGAGGCCAGCTCCCATCTTCCACATCCCACCACCAACATCATTCCATATAGTTTTGGGGTTCCCCACTTTGGGGGCTCCCCCGAGGCAATTATGAATGACGGTAGCCTCCTGTGGGCTAGTCTGCACAGTCCAGCTGTCAATGATGTCTGTCTCTTTCTCTTTTAGTTTTTTTTCTTTTTTTAATCTTCACCGAAGATATTTTTACATTTATGTTCAGACAGAGTGGGAGGGAGAGAGAGAGAGAGACACTGATGCGTGAGAGACACATTGATTGGTTGCCACCCACATGACTCCAACTGGAGCGGGACGAACCACAACTGAGACAGGTGCCCTGGCCGGAATTGAACCCGGGACTCCCTGGCCTGCAGGCCGACGCTCTAACCGCTGAGCCAAACCAGCCAGGGCTCAATGGTGTCTCTCAAAAAGCACCAGCCGGGCTTCACCAGAAACCCCCCTCACACACACACCCAGTCTTCAAGCCCCTCCTTGCCTCCACTTCCCACAGGAAGATTTTCCAACCAAGCTACAGAACTCTCAAGCCCTGTCCATGGGACTTTCCTCCTGTGTCTTATTTTCCACTTCCACAAGTTTCTCAAGCAGAGCAACTTAAGCTCTCCTTCTAAGCTCTCCCTTCTTTCCATCTCACCTCTACTATGCCCATTACCTCCACTCTGCCTCACAATGCTTCGCAAATGGGGCTGACAGAGTATCACCTTTGCTGGGTGAAGGATGGCGCTCGGCTTGGGGGAGGAAGGCAGGAACCGCTTGTCCATTTTCGGCTGGCCTTGGGACTGTCCTGTGCATGGGAATGGCTAGACAGAGAGGCTAAGACTGAGCTAGGAAGTCCGCAGAGCAGGAAGGGCAGGAAGTCACCAATCTCAATCTCTAGATTTCCACACTGATTTTCTACTGAGGTATGGGGAAGAGAGGAGAGTTCCCAGGATAGATCCTGACCTTCGAAAAAACATAAAGCTTTGTAGCTTATGGAAGTCTTCTCAGATCTACTGATTTAATCTTCATCAACTCTGTGAAATGGCTTCTGTTATTATCCCCATTTTATAGACAGGGAAATTGAGGCTTGGAGAGGTCAGATCATTTGCCCGAGGTGACAGTTAAGTGGAGGAATGGGGGTCCTTACCCAAGTGACAGATTAGCTCCAGTGCCCTTCTTGGTCTTTCTCACTCCTGTTCAGCAGTGAAGGATCTTCTGTTCTTGTGCCTGATCTGGGCAAGAACAGAGAGAGTCTCCTGACCCTTACGCCCTGCTTCTTCCAGGACCCCAGCTTCCTTCAGCTGTGGTGAGGGCCTGGAGCTCAGTGTCAAGGCCTTAGACACTGTCAAATCTCCCAAATGTTTAGCAATTTATAGCTCATTCAATAGCTTTTTTTTTTTTTTTTTTCTAATCCTCATCCGAGGACATTTTTCCATTTTTTTTTGTACAGATGAAGTGGGAGGGAGAGAGAGGAAGAGAGAGAGAGGGAAACATCGATGTACAAGGGCCACATCGGGTGGCTGCCACCCGCACGACCAACCAGGGCCGGGGACAAACTGCAACCGAGGTACATGCCCTTAGCGGGGACCGAACCCGGGTCTCTCCGGACCACAGGTCGACGCTCTAACCGCTGAGCCAAACCGGCCAGGGCGCTCATTCAATAGCTTGTGAATTTACCTCTCTCTGTGCTCTCACCAACACTGGACATTATTGGGTGCTTTAATTTTTACCAGTCTGATTGATTTAACAACTGGTGTCTTATTGCTATTTTAATTTGGGTTAAAAATTTTAAATTGTGATAAAATACATATAGCATAAAATTTACCATCTTGGTCATTTTAAAAGTGTGGTTCAGTCGTGTTAACTCTAGTATTTGCATTGTTGTGCAACCAATCGCCAGAACTTTTTCATCTTCCCAAACTGAAACTCTATACCTATTAAACAACTCCTCAATCTGTCCCCACCCCCAGCCTCTGACAACGAAAATTCAACTTTTTATCTCTATGAATTGACTACTCTAGGTATTTCATATAAGTGGAATCATACAGAACTTGAGTTTTTGTGACTGGCTTACATCACTTAACATGATGTCTTCAAGGTTTATCTATGTTGTAGCATATGTGATAATCTCTTTCCTTTTTAAGGCTGAATAATATTCCATTGTATGTATAGACCATATTGTGTTTATCCATTCATCTGCCGGTGGACATTTGGGTTGATACCACCTTTTGGCTATTGTGAATAATGCTGCTGTGAACGTGGGTGTATAAATATTTCTCTGAAACCCTGCTTTCCATTCTTTTGGATATATACCCAGAAGTGGTGTTGTGGGATCATATGGGAATGTTATTTTTTGCTTTTTGAGGAATACCCATACTGCTGTTTACAGCAGCTATACTACTTTACATTCCTGTCAGTAGTGTATGAGGGTTCCAGTTTCTCCACATCCCCACCAACACTGGGTATTTTCTGGTGTTTTTTTCTTTTTCTTTTATAGTAGCCAAACTAATGGGTGTGAGGTATCTCATTGTGGTTTTGATCTGCATTTCCTAATGATTAGTGATGTTGAGTTTATTGACCATTTATACATTTTCTTTGGAGAAATGTCTATTCAAGCCCCTTGTTTATTTGTTGATCGGGTTCTTTGTAGGAGTTTTTAAAAAAATACATTCTAATACTAAATATTTAGCAGGTATATGCTTTGCAAATATTTTCTCCCATCCTTTAGATTGACTTTTACTCTATTGATTGTGTCCTTTGATACACAGAAGTTTAAAATTTTGATGTAATCTCATTTGTTTATTTTTACTTTTGTTGCCTGTGCTTGCCTATTTTTTATTGGATTGTTTATCTCCTTTTTATTGACTTGTGAGAGCTCTCTGAATATTATGGAAATTAGTCTTTTGTCATCTAAGATACAAATAGTTTTTCACATTTTGTTGTCTTTTGATTTTGTTTTTGATCTTTCTCTGCTCTTTCCCTAGAAAAGCCGCTATGAGACCTATATCCACCTCCTGGCAGTGAAAATCAAAGTGGGCTCGGATGACCTGGAGCGGATTGAGAACCGGCTGGCCACCCTGGAAGGGGATGACCCTTCCCTCCGCAAGACCCACTCAAGCCCTGCCCTCAGCCAGGGCCACGGAACTGTGACTGGCAGCAAAGCCAAGAAGGATACCATTGGACCTGATACTTAGCTGGCATGGATGGACAGGCCCCAGAGGCAGGCAAATGCTCTCAGAGGGGTCAGAGAGCACAGTTCCAGCCAGGGGCCACTTGGGCCAGCTCCAGGCAGTTGAGGGGCAGCCAGAAGGGCATGGAGAGCCCCGTGGGCCAAGGAGATGGAGATGCTACTCATGGCATTGATTTTTGCATCCTGGGGCTTCTCTGGGCCTCAGACCCTCTCCTCAGCCCTCGCATCCTTCTCCACCGTGGAGCCTCATTTTGTAGGCAGGTTGTGTGCATGCTCTAAATACCATCTCACTGGTGAAGCGGGGAGGGCAGTTGACTTCCCAGGCCCTCGTTCTTCCCTCATCTTTCTGGTTTCTGAGGGCAGGTCTTGACTCCAGGTCTCAGCTTGGACTCCCACCCTTTCTCCTCCTCCTTCCTCTGAGTTGACCAGCAGCAGGTCTGCAGACCACCAGCATTATCCTCCCTCCCTCGACCCAACAGCCTCTGGAATCACACCCGTTCTCCCTATCTCACATCGCAATAATCCAGGACCCGCGTCTGCTCCCTCCATGACAAGCTGTGTCCACTCACATGTGCGTCCGTCCACCTCGCCTTCCATCCACTGAGGCCACTTCTGCTTTCTTTTATACGGACATAAATGTATATATATAGGAATCATATATCTATATAAGGACCCCCTTTAAAGACAGTTTTGGAACTGATATCAAAGGATGAAATAAGATGAAGGAAAATCCTATTTCAGGGCTGCTCTCTGGCCCCCTGGTGGCCCTGACACTCTGGGAGGGAAGGTGGAGACAGTGCTGACCTCCTCTCACTCCATTTTCCCCTCTTCCGGCTGACCTGTGACTTACATTGCTCTTACAGTTGATGTTTTGGAATAAATAGACAATGCGTGTGTGCCACCTCATCTGTCCCACAGGCATCATGGTGTGTGAGTGGGATGGGACTGTGGCTCTGTTTATTTTTTTGGTCTTTATGTTGGTGCTGCCAGGTCTCTGAGCTCCAGAGGTGGCCTCTTGTTCAGATCTACTGTTACAGGAATAAAAGACACTCTGCCTTGCAAATAGCCCCTTGTCAACAAGCCCAAAGATGTTTGATGGGGGGAGGTTATGGAAGCCATTAATCCTTGGTCTTGGGAAAAGGTGGAATGACAAGTTGCTGATTGTTTTTTAGGTTGGTATTTCTTTCACTCTTCTAGTGACTCAGAAATGCTAGCTAAGGACATGTTTAGGAAGAAAGAGAAATTTGCCACATGATGATCAGACTAGAATTCTTTTTTTTTTATCCTCACCCGAGGACATTTTTTGTTCAGATAGAGTAGGAGGGAGAGAGAGAGAGAGAAACATCGATGTGAAAGGGACACATCGAGTGGCTGCCACCCGCACGACCAACCAGGGCCGGGGACAAACTGCAACCAAGGTACATGCCCTTAGCAGGAACCGAACCCGGGTCTCTCGGGACCGCAGGCTGATGCTCTAACCGCTGAGCCAAACCGGCCAGGGCCAGACTAGAATCCTTTAAACCTTGTGTTCCTCTGACTGACAAGTGATGGGGGTAATGGAACCCTCAATGCAGCAATGATGAGTAAATCCTTTCTATTTTAAAAATAGATAACTGTAGTTTGGCCAGCGATTTGACCTCAGTGGTAACATATTTAGCTACTAAGTCAACTTTGCAGCTAACTACCCAACATTTACAAGCCTACTCACATTTGATTCAGGAAACATGTGAGTTTGTGCAAAGATGTAGTGATTTAAATTCAGATTATTTCATTTGGATCAGCTGAAGTGTACTCAAACCATCTGGCCCCCTTATTTTGCTGAAGACAATTAAATGTTCATTTAAGTGAAATTGAAAGAGCACTGTGGCAGCATAAAGAGCTCTCTGTATTTTCTCCACACTGCTCAAAGGTCCTTTGGTTTATGGGGTCAGCTTCCCATTGTCCACCTCCTGAGGGCAGGTGAGTGAAAACAGAGGGGCAAGCCCTGTCTGTTGCTGACAGATGTGCTTCCCTGAGCGCTAGTTGTGCCTCCCATCAGTAAAAAACATTTTTAGTTCACTTTCTTAATTGTATAATTATTTATTGTAAATTATATACATGTACTACTTTACTAAAATATTATGTACATTATAAAACATACACAAAAATAGAAATTTAAAAAAGATGAGATGAAAATAAACCTAAATCAAAGTTCTAATTTTTTTTCCTGCATTCTAATGGACCATTATGTTTACCCCACAAAATAATGCCCATTTTCCAGGACTGTCCAAATTCAGGGGCTGGAGGAGCGCAGGTGAAATGCAGTAAGTGGTTGTGCCACCTAGTGGTCCAGGGTAGTGGCCGCAGCTCAGCGACTCCTGGGGGCTGGTTCGTGGTCTCTTGAGCGTTCATCTGCTTCCTCAATGAACTTCAACAGTACAGCACATTGTGCTGGGTGCTGGGAATCTGTGGTGAGAAAAGGATTGGCCAGCTACCTGTCCACATGGGGCTCACAGTCTAGGGTGGGGGGGACAGACGGTCACCATCACCATTTGGGACTCTGGGAAGGCTGGGGAGACAAACCAAAAATGACCTGGCAGAGAGAAGAAAGAATTGGAGGAGTGGGGAAGATGACTGATTTAGGAAGTTTCTTGAATGTCCTAAGTGCTCCTGGAGACAGGGTGATAGTAGGGAAGTCACTTAACTGGACTACACCTCCTCCTGACAGGCCTACTGAAGATGCCCCCAAGCAGAAACTAGAGAGGCAGAATGGAGAAGGGGCCTCTCTGGCCACACCTGCTCCCCGGTCCCTTTCACACCTGTGAAATGAATGAGTGGCTGCAATGATGAAAAAAGAATCAAGGAGTAGATTAGGTTCTGGCCGTAGAGTCTCAGCAGGTATCTTAGAATCCAGAGCAGGCAATGAAGGCACCAAATGAGGTCATGTGAAGGCCAATAAGTTTACCAGGTGATTATTTAGAGTTACTTGGGGTCACACAGAGGTTGTGGGTTCATTGGAGTGATGGAGGTGGTTTCTGATAAAGTTTAGAAGGTAATAGCAACTCGGTCCTCAGAAGGGTCAAATGAGGACACTAAGTTGGGTCATGAGGAAGTCAATGGGTTCACCAAGAGTTCATCACTAATTACTTGGGGTCATGAAAAGGTCAAGGGGTTCACCAAGAGGTCATTCATTACTTGGGGTCATATAGAGGTCAGTGGGGTCATTGGTGTCATGGAGGTGGTTTCTGACCAAAAGTTTAGAAGGTAAAAGTAACTTGTTCTCAGAAAGGTCAAATGAGGACACTGAACTGGGTCATGAAGAGGTCAATGGGTTCACCAAGAGTTCATTCCTAATTTGGGTCATGAAAAGGTCAAGGGGTTCACCAAGAGGTCATTCCTAATTACTTGGGTAGCACATAGAAGAATTACTGGCTTTCAGAAAATTTTAAAGCCAACAGCAAACTCAGACAGTAGAGGGATGTGGATAACAATACCAGATGTGGGCTAGGAGCGGTCAGTAATTTTACAGGTTTATGTAGCATTTAGTGCATTATTTTCATTTGTTTCTTTGTAATTTTTTTTTAGTGCCCCCCCCCCCAATGAATACAATGATTTGACTTCTTCATTTTTCTCCATAACCTCTCTTTCATCCAGTTTTTGCCACTCTGTGTGATTCAAGATGCAAGACACAGGGTATCCTCATCACCATCATCAAATTAGCTATTAACAGGCACCTACAGGCATACCTCATTTTATTGTGCGTTGCTTTATTGTGCTTCACAGATGTTGCGTGTTTTATCAATTAAAGGCAAGATCCTCCACCAGCAAAAACTTGCTTTTTTGCAATTATAACTTGCTTTATTGCAATACTTGTTTTATTGTGGTGGTCTGGAACTGAACCCACCATATCTTCAAGGTATGCCTGTATCACATGCCAGAGGCTATACTGGGTGAGATATATATATATATATATATATATATATCCTCCACAACAATCTTTTGAAGTAGGTTTTAGCATCATCATTTCAGTAGCGGAAACTGCAGACTAGAGAAATCACACAGCTAGTGAGTGGTGGCAGTGAAATTTGAACTCAGGCCCTGTTGATACCTGTAAGTACTCTCAATCTTAAACCTCTGTCCCTCCCATCTGTAGGTCTCTGGAGGCATTCATGTGCATGCGCACACAAATCAAACACCTGAACAATTTGGATAGAAGACTTCCTTATGTTGGGCTGGAACATAATGGTTCCTGGCGCTTCACACTGGTTTAATAAATTAATCAACGAGGGCAAAGGCTTCTTAACCCTGGACCTCCCTCAGCCTTCTCCATGCCTGAAATTATGTACTCTTCATCAGGGACTGCAGGTTTAGACAAGCCCTAGCTCTGAGGGGTCGAAAGTTGGGAAAAGTATAACACCCTGTAGGCTTACAAGCTGCCGCAGCTGTGGTCCTCCTGGCAGCTGAAGTTACATTATCCATCTTGCATGTCCAGACTTTGCCTGTGACATGCCTGAGGCCCCAAGGGTCATCTTGCCTCAGCTGCCCCAGTGCCAACCCCACAATCCTTCCTTCCTTACCTACCTAGGCCTGGAAACTGTTGTCTCAGTCCAGCCCCTGTAACTCCAGGGCAGGAACTGGGCCAGGGTTCTGAGGCTGAGCTTGAAGCAGAGTAATTTGCGTCAGCCCATTGGCCAAGTTCCCCAGCAGCCAGGAGGGATACCTTGTGAATGTTCTTGGAAGAGGGAGGAGGGTTGGAGCCTGTTCTGGGAACTGGAGCCAGGGAGACTGGAGGGAGTGTCTCTTCCTCCCAGGGATTACCCTGGCCCTCTCCAACATCCATCCATCTCCACCCCAGGTCTTCATCCTCTGTCTGCCCTCCTCACCTGGGGGCTAGGCACACACAGTCAAACATGAGTTATTTCTGATTTTATTTATAATATAAAAATGTTCAAGTGTCAACAGTCAGGTTTTTGGACATTTCAGGGCAAGGTTCCCATTTGGGATATTTTTTAAACAATTACCTTT